GCGGCCCTTTCAAATTCTTGAAGCAATGTTGTTTTTCAATGTGACCTACATAAGAACATAGAACAAGAACAAGAAAGGAGGATCACTGCAGCAGGCCTGTTGGCCCTTTTTACCCCCCCCTTTTGGCCCCTACTAGGCAGGTCCTTTACATGCCTTCTGCAGTGTTCCTTCGTTCTTATGTTCTACATGCTCAAGGAAAGAAGACATAGGATTCCATATCCTTTGTACCTCATATACTACTATTAGTCTCTCTCAAAAACAACCATTTCGACAAACGGATTTGTCTAACCTACATTTGGTAGCTACCAAACAAACGATTTACGTACAGTTACAATACTAGGCCACGCCTAAGTCTGTCAGGCAGCCGTAAAAAAACAATAATTAAATGAAAAACTCTGGACACATGAAAACACGGTTGTTTTCCCTAAGGACGAAGCTGCGATACCTGTTTCATTGTGTCCATCCACCGCCCCTATTCCCCCTACCTCTCTCCCTAACACACACAGACAAGCATACACACACACACAAACACACACACACACACACACACACACACACACACACACACACACACAACACACACACACACACGGGGCCAGGAGCTCGGACTCGACCCCCGCAACCTCAACTAGGTGAGTACACACACACGCACGCGCGCGCGCGCGCCTGAAAACCAACATTCAGCGATCAGTCAAGACCTGAAGGAAGCAAGCAAGAAACCTTTTTTTAATAAATTCTTGCAGAAATGTCAAAATCCCAAGTAATTTCTTTAGTAAACTATACTGATTATTAATAGTATATATATATATATATATATATATATATATATATATATATATATATATATATATATATATATATATATAATATTTTTTTTAATATATATTTTATTTCATGTAGCTAGGAAGGTCATTTATTTTTATACTATTCATGTAATATATTGTCTAATTGCAAACTCTTTTCGTTGAAATCAATATGGACCTTTAATAAGGTCCTTTTTTTTTTTCTTTTCCTCGATGATGATGTTTGTTTGTTGAGAAAAAAATCGTTGGTAGTTGTAATGATTTAACCACCAAACCCATAGGGGGTGCGTCCTTGCCTTTTCAAGGCATAAACAACATCCTTTGCAAAAACAGTTTTCCTCTTGGCGTGTTCGTGTAGTGACGGGGCATTTTGGATGACGTTCCCCTAAAAAAAACCTTTGAAACTTCGAGTTTCCTCGAAATCAGGCCAGAAATCCCTTTGACCCCGCCACGCGACCACCCCGACAAATTTTAGCGGGCTTGGTAAATGCCCTGGATTTGTCACGAAAAAACCCTTTGCGATACTTTTTTGGCCCCCATTTTTTCCCAAAGCCCTTTTTGCCCCCTTTTGCCGCGACCAGTCATTTGCAGAATCAAATAAGTCACCAGAAAAGTTTGAGCCAAAACCGCTCTCCCCCAGAAAATGAGCCCAAATTTTAAAAATTTGGATAGGATGGGGATGGACTCACAGGAAAGTACCCAGGGGCGAGGGCAAGTGGGGACGTGCAAAGAAAAACGGGAGGGGAAAAGCCCTTGGGTCAAAAGAGAAAAGGGAAGTCAGGACAAAACCCCAAAACCTGCAAAGGGCCCAAATAACAAAAAAAAAAAGGGACGATTTTGAAAAACGGGAACCTGGGGATTTGCCCGCAACTTGCTGGAAAAAAAATTTTCTGCTTCTTGATGGGGGTTTTGGGGCGGGCAGGACGGGGGGGGGTTCAAGGGAGGAAATTTCTTTTTGGTTTTGGGGTTTTTAAGGGGTGTTTTTTTCTCTTTTTTTGTAAGGGAAAGGTTCCTTAGTTTAGTTTTTGGTTGGAGGGAAAGTTTTAAAAGTCTTTTTAACAAGGTGGGAAATGGGGTTTTTGAATTAAGGGTTTTTAGAGTTTATGGTTTGAAATTTGGGTTCCTTTTTTGCCCCAAAAATTGGACAAAAAAAACTTGAGTTTTTTTTGTAAAAGGTTCACCTTCCATGTTTAGGTTTTTTGGGGGGTGTAAAAAAAATTAATTTTCCATCCCAATTTTTCGATTTTGGCCCTTTTTTAAATGGTGGGCGGAATTTTTTTGTTGTGGTTGGCTTAAAGGGTTTCTTTTCCATTTTTCTTCGTTTTAAATTTTTAAAATTTTTTTTCCCCCTTTCTTTCTTTTTTTTAATGAGAATGGGGATTTTTGGGGTGAAGGGAGGTCGGCCACAGGAGTGGAGGGAGGGATCCCTTTTGGGGCCTTTGTTGGAGGAGGGTCATTTAAGGTTTTTGGGTGTTGGGCTGCGGCGAAGGGTTGATTAATCCTGGTAAATTTTTGGGGTATTTTTTTCCGAAGGTGGGATGCGGGAATTAATGATGGCAAAATTTTTTAAAGTGGCAAATAAACTCGTTGAGGGTAGATTTTAAAAGATCCAGGTAAGCCATATTCTGATGTAGCGTTATAGACAGTAGTGGATCTTGGTTACGTAACAAGCTGGGGGGAGTGATAAGGTGGGGGCTGGTTTGGAGTAGTAGTTTTGAAGTAATTTTTTTGTTTAGCTTGGCCCTTTGCAATTGCTGCATATTGGTGTGTTGCTATAGGTTTTTTTTTTGTGCTTCTTTTTGTTTTCTTTACAAAACCTTTTGGGGTAGGACTTTTGCTGCCAGGGGTTTTTGGGCGTTTTTTTACAGTTTAAGCACGATGGTTGTGGGGGGAGGGAGCAATGGTGCAGGAATGAAGGGGGTTTTTCCCTCCCCTACCAAAAATGTATTTCAGAAAATTCTTTCTTTTTAATGGACATGCCCTTTTGGGGGTTTTTTTGGAAAAAATAAAAAAATTTCCGCAGTGGGTTTGGGTGGGACTTTATATCTTTGCTTCGATGTAGTTGGATGATGGGGTAGTAATAAACAGCAAGACCTTCGTTCAGGCAGTTTGGGAGCCTTTTTTAAAAACAGTGAAGGGGACCTTGAGCAAAGGACGATTTCCTTCGGGGTTTTTTTGAAGCTGCAACAGTAGCCCAAATTAAATTTTTAGTCTCATGGGTGTCTTGAGTTCTGCGGTTTATTGAGAGTCAAAAAACTTGTTAGTTTTTTAAAAATCCCGAAATTTCCCCCGGCCTTGAGGGGAGGGGATGACATAACAGTAAACCCTTGGCAGTAAATGTATGGTGGCATCCGTAGTGAGTAGGGTTCTCTGCTTCGCATCATCGTGAACACCAAAAATTTAATTTTCTTTCAGAACAAAATGGTGTTGAAATTTAAAATTTCCTTTTTCCTTGAAAAACAGTTTCAAGAGCTTTTCGTTGGAAAAACAACCCGGGACCACTTGTTGGGGTTTATCTTTACACGATTTGCGTAGTCACGTGCCAAATCCCAAATTTTTGGGGAAAAAGCTGGTAAAGGTTCCCCCCCCCAAAAGGGGGGTGTTTTGGGGGACTGGTAAGTAAGGAAAAGCGTATACCCCGCAAGGGGGAGGGCAAGGCAGTATTTTGTTGTCTAAAAAAAGCCGCGTTTTCCTTGTTGTTATAAAACCCAGCGTGTGGACGCGGGTTGTTCACACCTAAAAAGTTTCCTAGAGTTTTAAAAATTCCTTGCTAATTTTCGTTTTTCTATTTGATTTCGCCTTTAGACCCAAAAGGTTTTCCTGTGCTCTCAAATCATTGACCCATGGGGGGTGTGAATTCCATACAAAATTTTAAAAGAAAACAAAGACAGAATAAAGTAGAAAAAAGGAGAAAGGGGGAAGGCGAGAGTAGGCGGAGCTTAGTGAGGAAGTTAGCGGAGTTCTTAGCCAAAAGGAACGCAGATCCCAGGCGGCGGGCTGCATTAAAAGCAAGATGAGCCGGAAAATTTTTTTATATCAGTCATACAAATGGCTGCACTAAGCAAACAGCCCCCAAGTCCACGGGGGCAAGGCTCCTCCCAAAGCAGTGGCTACCAAGGCAGCCCGCCCCCCCCAAGGGGGGGTTTTCACCCGCCACTGGAGGGGTCCAAAAAAACCCCATCGTTAAGGCCCGGGACCCTTGCTCCTTTCGTGAGATCCTTGTACCCAAAAAGCACTGAGCTGCTCTCAGGAAACCCTTCCCCTTCCAAACGAATTGTAAAGGAGGGTTGCTCAAGAAATTTTTAAACTGACCCCGCGATTCCCGTCGTCGCTGGGCATGGCTTTTCAAGGGCCTTGAGGCTTACTTAGGGTTTGGGCTCTTTTAAGATAAAACTTTTTTGGGGGCCATCCAGCTAAGGGTGTTACCATCATGCCTAAGGACATTCAGTTAGCTCGCCGCATCCCCTGGAGAGGCTTAGGTTTCCCCAAACCCAGTTTTACTTTCAAAAAGGCCCTTATTAGGGCCACAAAAAAATGTTTTTAAAAGATGATATAGACTAATGAAAAATAATAAAAATAAAAACAAGACTATTTATTAGCTACCTCCCAAAATGATGTTTTTATTAATAAACAGGGAAAAAAGTCCCCTTTTCTTTGTTAAAAAGTTGTTGCAAAGTCCACACAGACTAGGAGGGAACATTTCAAGGGTAGGAAAGGGCCCTTGGGATGGGGGAAGGGGTTTCACATATGGAAAAGATTATATAATTAAGATGGATTAAAATAGGGTTGGTAGGTAGAAGATATATAGAAAGATGGGGGAAAGAAACAGAAAAATAAAAAACCCCCCCGTTTTTGCATATGAAACAAGCCTTTTTTTAGTAGCCAATGCAAACCCAAAAATGCTCCCGTAAATGTTTTTTTTTATTTGCCCATATTTCTTGCCTTATTTGTTGGGGAGGGGAAAAAGTAATCGAAAGGAAAAAAAAAACTAAGGGGGGATTGAAATCTACAAAGAAAGGACATAGGACAGTAAGTAATCTAGTTATAAAGAAAATCTTTCAAGAATTACTACGTAACTAAATAATAATGAGAATTTGTTTCATTTCAGATAAAAAAAAAAAATAAATAAATAAATAAATAAATAGATAAAATTAATTTTTGTTGTTGTTTAGTCAATAGTCTCTTTGAAATCAATCTGTGGCTCCAATGGAGCCTAATTTTTTCCTTCTTTGAGAGTGCATTCTGCCATTTACTTAGAGGAGGTGTATTTGGTTACAGCCTTGGTGCCCTCAGAAACAGCGTGCTTAGCCAGTTCTCCAGGTAGCAAGAGCCTTACTGCTGTCTGGATTTCGCGACTAGTAATGGTAGAACGCTTGTTGTAGTGAGCTAGGCGAGAAGCTTCAGCTGCAATGCGCTCAAAGATGTCGTTCACAAATGAATTCATGATCGACATTGCTTTGGACGAGATGCCAGTATCAGGATGGACTTGCTTCAGCACCTTGTAGATGTAGATACTGTAGCTCTCCTTCCTCCTGCGCTTCTTCTTCTTGTCGCCCTTTGCAATTGCTTTCTGGGCTTTTCCAGCTTTCTTGGCAGCCTTTCCTGAAGTTTTGGGAGGCATGATGCAGCTTGCGTTGACGGGGTAATGTCAAATGAATTGTGCGGGAGCCGCCCATGCCGTTCCTCTTTTATATGCCGTTGCCGGCTCAGGATCGAGGGTCTCGAATGTGCGCGCATTGTGATTGGCTGGCTGAAGCTGTGTGCTCGCCTCGCTCGAGCCTGAGCGGGAGTATATAAAGGGAAGCTCCATTCGCGATAAAATACAAATACACACTCACTCGTAGCAACAGCAGACATGTCTGGACGTGGCAAAGGCGGAAAAGTGAAGGGAAAGTCAAAGTCTCGCTCCAGTAGGGCCGGACTTCAGTTCCCCGTCGGCAGAATCCATCGTCTACTACGCAAGGGCAACTATGCCGAGCGTGTAGGAGCTGGTGCTCCAGTGTACCTGGCAGCCGTCATGGAATACCTAGCAGCAGAAGTACTTGAGTTGGCCGGCAATGCTGCACGTGACAACAAAAAGACCCGCATCATTCCTCGTCACTTACAACTGGCCATCCGTAATGACGAGGAACTGAACAAGCTTCTTTCGGGTGTCACCATTGCACAAGGTGGTGTCCTACCCAACATTCAGGCTGTTCTTTTGCCCAAGAAAACCGAAAAGAAGTAAGCTCTGTTTTCAGGCTTTCAAAACCAAACATTACAGGCTCCTTTTGGAGCCACACATTAATTTAAAGGAGAATTTGAAAAAAGACTCGACTGACAACACATTAACAATAATAATAATCACAAAAGATAGGGACCGAATCGTCGGCGGCTACTTTGAAAAAGAGATGAATAAATTTATATTTTTAGAAAAACATTGATTTCTTTTTTTTTTTTTTGAAAGTTATTTATAGATACATTAATTAATATGATGGATGGGCTTACATATAGAAAGACAGACAGATAGATAGTAGAGAGGTACAAAAATGAAAGAGAGAGAGATGAATCTAAGTAATGGAAGTTGGTGAAAGTTGAAGTTTGTTACCCCCACCCCAGGCCCCCTTTGTTGTGTATGTGTATATTGTTTTTGGTGCTGACTGCAAGTAAATGTTGTTTATATATGTAAATATTGGTGAATGTTGTTAGTTGTTTGTTTGTTGTGTTTGTTTATTATGTTTGTATTATTTGTTGTGATATGTTTATAAATAACAAATAATAGTTTGTGACTTGAAATAAGAAATAGAAGAAGAAGAAGAAGACCATGAATGTTTATTTATGATGGGTTTGATAGGGAGGGAGGGAGGGAGGGAGGGAGGGAGGGAGAGAGAGGGTGTTTTGGGGTTTATGATTTGTGCTCGGCACGGCGGCGTTTGTCTGTCTGTCTGTCTGTCTGTCTGTCCTGTCTGTCTGTCTGTCTGTCTGTCTGTCTGTCTGTCTGTCTGTCTGTCTGTCTGTCTGTCTGTTGAAATATAACAACTGAATCACCTCCTTCCTAATCTAATATACCTGTATGTATGTAGCATGTGTTGTGTGTTATTCTTTTTAACCAACCAACTTAGAAGCCTGCCTGCCTACCTACCTACCTACCTACCTACCTACCTACCTACCTACCTACCTACCTACCTACCTACCTACCTACTTGGCAAGGAAGGGCACACAACGGTATTTCACTTTGTTGCCTTATTTATGTGCGTTTATAGCCTTTATTGGGCATATTTCATGTGCCAGCCAACCAACCAACCAACCAACCAACCAACCAACCAACCAACCAACCAACCTATTATTTGGTTGGTTGGTTGGTTCTTTGGTTGCTACTTAGTTACTTCGTTAGTTACTTACTTCGTTACTTACTTCGTTACTTACTTCGTTACTTACTTACTTACTTACTTACTTCCTTACTTACTACTTACTTAATTACTAACTTATTAAGTTTAATAAATGCGGAAATGTGGAAAAAAAAGGATATATTTTTAATTTATTTTCTTGGGTTATCCTAGGTAATTTACATATATTTACCTACTTAACAAACTCAGAAACAAACAAACAAACAAACTAACTAACTAACTAACTAACTAACTAAGTAACTAACTAACTAACTAACTACCCAGCTACCTACCTACCTACCTACCTACCTACCTACCTACCTACCTACCTACTTACATACCTACTACTATTCAATAATACGTTACTAAGCTAGCTAAATACAACGTCGACGTTTGTGAACTTGATCCGTAATATACAGATGTCATGTGGGCATTATTATTATGAGCACCAGCAGCCAGGCACCAGCAGCCAGCCACAGCCAGCCAGCCAAGCCAGCCAGCCAGCCAGCTAGCTAGCTACCTAGCTAGCTAGCTAGCTAGCTAGCTAGGTAGCTAGCTGAGGAAAGAGGTGGGTGGGTGGGTGGCTGGCTGGCTGGCTGGCTGGCTGGCTGGCTGGCTGGCTGGCTGGCTGGCTGGCTGGCTGGCTGGAATGCTGGCTGGTAATTTTTCATTCAAAAACGTTGCTCAAATCAAATGAACTGAAATCAAATCAAATCAAATCAAATAAATGTCTGGTCCTAAACACGTGACAAAGAGGACTTCTGTCCGACGGCCGGCACAGGGAAAACCAAAAATTTAGTTCATGGAATAATATCTTAAGATATTAAGCATTAAATGCATGTGCTAAAACAAGTTACCCTCCTATTTAGAGTTTCCCGTTTTCAGTTGATTAGTAGAGAATGGGTGTCTTTAAGTGGGTCTTGGGAGGAGGTAGGTAGCCACTAAATAATACTACTTGAGCGTATGAGTTATGTTCGTTTATAAACTCAAACGTGATTAGGTTTGCTAACAATAATTCTGTGAAATGTCTCCTATCGATATATTAGGCTATGACTTGTAAAGAAAAGCAAAAAAAAAAAGGTTTAATGCCAACAGCATTTGGTGTTCCCAGGCGGTCACCCATCCAAGTACTAACCAAACCCAACGTTGCTTAACTTCGCTGATCGGACGAGAAGCGGTGTGTTCAACGTGGTATGGCCGTTGACACAGTATCTTGTGCAAATACTCTTTATAAGCCACGTTTTTAGGCAAGAAGTATCTAACACACCAAAGTTTCCAAGTAAGTAGGTAAGTAAGTAAGTAAGTAAGTAATTAAGTAATTAAGTAAGTAAGTAATTAATTTAGTAATAAGAATAAGTTTATTTTAGTGCACATATATATTTAGCAAAAACACATAAGCTATGCTGTATCACATATTAATTTCTTATAAATGTTGTGGTACATACAAGTACACACAATTACTACAGTTACTTACTTACTTACTTATTTACTTAATTACTAACTTAATCACTTTAATAAATGCAACGTGACAAATAAACAATTCTACAATTGTTTGGGAAAAAGAAATATTTTATTTGTAATTTAATTTCTTTGGGGTTTTCCTAGGTAGGTAATTTACATCTATTTTTCCTACACATACACATTCCCAATTAAATATTACTTTATTATTTTTATTTTTATTATTATTATTTTATTATTATTTTTATTATTATTTTATTATTAATATTTTCTGGGCCGGCCAAACAAAAGGGCTGGGGTGGGAAAATC